TTCGGTCAGATTCATCCCGTGATCTCCTCCACCTACGCTCTAGCCGTTTCCCAGCCTGCTTCATCGCCCGCAATTCAGGTGTATACCAAGGGGAAGAGTGGGCTCTGCCTGGCGGGAGAGGACGCTTAGGAGCGATCGTGTCAACAGCCCTAGTCATCTCCCCATTCCATAGTTCGACCAGAGCCTCGACAGGAGCACCAGTCTTGTCAGCCGGAAACTCCCCCAGGGCCTTCAGGAATCCATCTGGATCCATCTGGCTCCGGGGGCGGACCCACACAATCGGGTCCGCACGCTTACAGAGGGAGAGGCCGCTCTCGAGCACAAACCTCACCAGGAAGTGATCTGACCATGACAGGGGTGTCATAAATTCCTCACCCTCTTCCTGTCCCGTCGAGAAAACCAGGTCCAGAGTGTGTCCACGTTCGTGGGTCGGGCCGGAGACATGTTGAGACAGCCCCATGGCTGTCATGGAAGCCATGAAGTCCTGAGCCGCCCCGGTCAGACCAGTCTCGGCATGGAGACTGAAGTCCCCCAGGACCAACATCCTGGGGGTCCTCAACACCAGGTCCGAGACGATCTCCGTCAGCTCAGGCAGGGAGACTGTTGGGCAGAAGGGTGCACGGTACACCAACAGAATCCCTAATCTGTCTCGGTCGCCCAACACCAAGTAGAGGCACTCCAGCCCTGGCCTTGAAGGGACCGGAAGTCCCGTGAGGGAGATGGAGGCTCGGTAAACCAAAGCGACCCCCCCTCCCCTCCAGGCGTGGACAGTGCTGAACCAGATACCAGGGCGGGCACATTTGAGAGAGGGCGACATCCCCCCACTCTCCCGCCCAGGTCTCCGTTACGCAAGCCAGGTCAGCCCCCTCATCCACAATCAAGTCATGGATGAGGGAAGATTTATTGTGGACCGACCTGGCATTGAGCAGCAGCACCGTCAGGCCCGAGGGGCAGTTGACAAGACTACCTGGAACCCTCTGGCTGGGGGCAGAACCAAGAGGAGGGACGTGTGTCAGCCATCTGTCCCTCCTTCTTCTACGCAGACACGCAGACATGTTAAATGCAACCAATCAGCATTTATGTGTTCCAGCCTATCAGGCACACTGGGATTAAAAAATTTGAGCTTCACAAAGGTTGTTTTATGTTAATACAGTTAAAATACTTAGAAATCACTGGGCTTCTTTTTATTACTGCTAACAACCAATGCAAACAATAAGATGCACCACCAAGAATGCTTGAAAGTGATGGCCATCAAACACCTGCTGCTAACAAACTGCTTCACACCTGTAGCAATAATCCCAAGAGTTTAAAACAACAGCCTCAGAGGCACAACCCAGTCAAGCATGCAAATAATTCAGAGCCCCTTTTCTACAACCTCCCCAAAGGCGGGTTCTGTAGCCTAATGGTATTTTGTCTTTGCCCGAGCCCCTGACTCTTTTTTGGCAGCTATGTCTTTTGAGATGTGTTTTTGAATCTGCTATAGTTGGGTGGATACACCAGTCTGTTCTTGTCTGTAGACAGCCATGCCTAAGATGGCTGAAAGCACTTATCTAAATGAAGGGAGACATACGCAGAATATCCCAATATAATGCGTCCCCAGCTGTCACGCTCCTTCATTCCAGGTACCCTAAGCTGCAACATCTGGAATGATGATTAGTAGTGTTTGTTCCCTAGAAACAGGTGCTTAGCTCTCACTGTTAGGAAGCAGCAGAAGATTCTACTGGCTTTCCAAAGCTCGCTCTGCAGCTCCCTACCAGGTGTGGCACGGATCTGGATATTTGCACCTGGACATAAGAGCAGTTACATTACAGGGGCACACGTCCGTCTGTCGGACATTCCCAGCAAATCCCAACCATGGCCTGTAGCCACCCACAGCACAGAACCCCACAGGAAGGTTCGCTCAAGCACGAGTGAACGGCTCGCTCAACCCTGCTGCATCCAAACTGCGTGAGCACAAGGCACACCTCCAGTAAGCCAGTCCATCCCTTGCTTGGATGTGTGATGCACAGGGAGCGTGAAGAAGGCGGGCAGGGGGCTTGCCTGTAACTGCAGTTTTTCAGGTGGTCCTCTTTGCCGCCACTTACCCACCCACCACCAGTATCCTTGTCAGTGTCTGTACCCATGCCAAAGTCAGCTTTCACCTTGATGTCATGGCTGGCTTCCATGCCAGCGCTGATACAAGGGCAATCTCGTTTCCCACACCGCAATAGGCCACAGAACTGGGGGAACAGGTGGGAATGCACTAGAGACGTGTGCGCTGTGATGGTGGATGAGGGGTTCCTGCCTAAATACCTCAAGAAATTCCGTGAAATGATTTAGCACATGGCACGGAACCCCGTGTGTGATGCACAGATGGGGACTCTCTGGCAAAGGGTTTCAACATTTGGATCTGGATCTACAGAACCACCAGGTATATTTGAAGAAACAACTGTGTGGATTTCTACTAATTCCTTGCTCAATGTTCTTCTCGCACTCATGGCTCCTTTTTGGTATGGAAGGGGCTACATCTAGATACTGGGTGGAATTAAGAGGGATATGGGGAAGATGGTTTTCTCCATGTGTTCAAAGCTTTTCTGAATTTGCGCATCAAGCCTGAGTAGTACTGAGCCTGTGGATAAAGGATACCTCTGCCCATGGCTCCATGACAGACTACTTTTCTACACAAAACATATTTAATGGCAAATCAGAAAAGGTTGCATTATGACACGATACTGTCATATCGTGACGTTGGCTAGATTATCGTATTCCCAAAATGCACTTGGGTGACGTATATTTGAAAATCTTGTAATAACATAACTTTTATCTGACTTTCTAATACTTAATTTATAAAATGGCAAGCAAATTCTGAATTAAGACAGCGTCAGTTCACCCATCATGAGTAAGACAGATACTGACACACATGATTATGCAGGAAAAGCAACTCAACTCTCTCCTCAAAATGTACTAGTGGCTTAAGATGATCATATTTAAGCCAAGAATCACATGCTGCGATTTTTCCTGTGACTGGTGCCGCTTGTTATCCACACAGTATAGATATATGACAGGCACCATTGGTACAAGCCACTGAAGTTCTCTTTTACACTAAGATGAATGAGAACTGCACAAAACAAGCATGTTCTTTGGAATTCCCATTTATTTATTGTAGCTTGTACAAGGGAACGTCTCAGGGGATTGTAGCCTCAGCAACAAGCAATAGTACCGATCAGGGCCTGAGCTACAAGGCTTTTTAATCCTGAAGACGCTGTAGGAAGAAGTCATGCGAACCAGACAGACAAATCCATGCAAAAAATGTGCTATATACCCCTATTACCAGTCACTCCTGACATGACCAAACGGAGAAAGTTACTTGCTCATTTAGCGGAAATACTTCAGAAATAAAGAAAAGGCAAGCTCTCATTCACTCTCACTTTCACTCATTCGGCTATATGAAATCACATCACTTCCGAACGGTATGATTATGAAACAGTTTAAGACGTAACAAACACTTACCATCGGGAAAAATCTTATTATATTTTCAATGGGATTATCTGCAATATCCAAGACTAAATACCTACAATTAAAATAAGTGTGTTAGTACACAACCAGGACTGCTCATCATCTTCTGCTCATCTCAGCTTGGAGAATGTTTCTCACTGCCTGAAACTTACAAGGGAATGACAACTAGAAGGAAGAAGCTTAAACTGCATGCTGGAGGTCAACGCAGTAACCTGAATAGCCCCTTCTCTGCTGCAAAATGCACTCTCAAGCCTGGGCAGGGTCAGCCCCCGCGGGGAAGGAACACTTCAGCGGAAGAGGAAGCCTTTGGTGCCCTTCCTGCTTCTGCCCCTTCACAAGGGCAAAGCGGCTCCCAGGACTCCTGGCAAGCAGCAAGCGCCGGGCACAGGGCACCGCACCTGCCTTCCACACGGATGCCCCCGAGCCCCACCCCTGGCATCTCGGGGCAGGGCAGGAGCATCCACTGTCCGATATCCTGGAGACTCTACTGAATTAGAGAAGGGCCTCATTCCTTGCCAAAGCTGGTGTCATGTTGCAGGCTGGTCTTTCCCTTGCCTTCCTTCTAAGATCAGGAAGAGGCTTCTCTCAAGAACCTTTGTTATGTTACAACTTTCCAAGCTGCCCTGACTTGATGATACAAAAGAGGAGTATGGTTAGCCACACACCACTGAAGCTGCAATACCAGCCCTCAGGGAAATATGGATTAACACTAGGAAGTGGTTTCCAAAGGGAACCCCTCTACTCCCTACACAATTAACAGGAATTAGCCCCGCCTTCAGCGTGGTTTCTGCTGCTTGTAGGACAGATGGCAGGACCAACGGGCTCCACGCACTGGTCTTCTCTTTTGCTCTGGTGACAGACTATTGGACTGATCACGTTACATCTCACGCCACCTGTTCAGTGGAGGCTTTCACCAAACCAGGCACAGTCTGATTTTCATCAGCTTCTTGGCTGATCACTGGGCTTCCTGGACTTGGCATTTCAGCTAAGAACTCTGACCCATCTCTTCTTACCATTCTAATTCAGATAGCATGGCAACAACTTCAGAACGCTGCATTTTGAGAAAAGCAAGCCTAGTCCCTGCGTGTCAAAACAAGTCCTTCTAATTCCATCTAAATTCCTGAACAGTGGAGAGGCAAAATGAAAAGTACCGCTCTGTTTTCCTACACTCTTCTTTACAGGAATCACAGCAGCTGTAAATAAGAACCGTGGAGAAGCTCAAGGTTCAGCGGGGCTGACAAAATAGGCTACTCACATTCTGTTCTTACATTGTAACTGAATCCCATTTCTTCATAAGGTAGGTTGGGGGGTGGGGACAAAGCCCTTCTACTTCTGGTTTTTATTCCTCTTGAAGGCCCTCCTGGCATACCTTCCAACTATTCTGAGTCGCAGCCCTTAGTTCCAGCGTCAGAGGCAGTATGCCTCGCTGAGGAGTCTAACAGGAGGCTGCTACAGCTCGCACAGGCATAGAAAGGCCTTTGTTCTGATCCAGCTTTGTTCTTCTGGCACTCCTATTACCTAACATTGTGCCTAAACTTCTTATATAGATTTTGCCTAAAACCCTGTTTCGCAGGGAAACAGCGGGACAACGTCCAACTCTTCCTGTGCACCTGCTGAAACCAGCCCAGAGCGAGGGGGAAACTGATACTTCATAATGGAATGAGAAATGGGCTGAACCCGTCATTTCCGGAATGGAGTAAATCCATGAAATTGGAGATATGAACCCCCGTTGATCGGTCCTCTTGCCGGAATGAGTTTCCTAGAGGCACAGCTCTCCCTCTGAAACAGCAGTGGGTTTCACTTGTGGCACATGATCAGTTGAGGCACACGGGAAACTCTGGATCTGAACCTGAGGGAAACTGAAGGAGCTGTCAGCGGTTCCTCGCTTTTGGGGGGGCATCACCTAATGTGCAAATATTTCAGAGTTTTTCCAGGGGGGGCTTTTCCAGAGATGCACAGCTCCAAATGGCTAAAACAGGAAGGCTTATCTAGGCAATCACCTGGTAAGCACCTGCTGTCAAAGTGCAGCACCTACAAGCCAAGAACATTATCCAAGGGAGCCAAATGGATTATTTTGTTACTTTGTGTTCACTTGACAGCTGTCAAAGGACAGCAAAACAGCAAGGAATCTTTGCTCGCAATAGGGGTACGGCAACTTTTCCCCCTGCACTGTGTGATCCTCAGGGTTTTCAGCATTCTCCCCAAAGTTCCCCGTGCTCTCACCTTTACCTCACTTTCCCCAAGTCTCCAACTAATCAGGAACGTGAGGATTATGAGGCCACCTGCTTTTCTCACACACTTTTTAACAGTTTTTAAAATAAGCATTTTACTCTTTAAAAATTTCTGATAAATCTCTATTTTTGATAGGAAAATATACAGTCATGAATCTATATATTCATGCAGAATAACAGAAGGAATGCAATTAACATTATTATACTTGTGTATAATAATTGTGTATAATATATTATGCAATTATACATGTACCAAGTATAGCAACATCCATTGTTGGTGCCTCCCTTCATATAGGTCAGTTATTTGCAGCTGAGCAGATAGAAATATTCTGGAAAAAGTTCCGAAATAAATATGGGCTCTTTGGAGGGCCTGCCACTCCAGATTTTGCAACCTCCCCCCCCGCCCCCCAAACGGAGGTCACAGTGAGCACAGCAGAGTTTGTGGTTGCGGTGAGCGGGGAGAGAGCCCGTGACGGTCACTGCCGAGTGCCACATGGGCAGCTGGTGCAGGAGCGATCGCTGGCACTGCCTCCGGCAGGTGTGCTGAGAGCGGCAAGGGGCTCCGGGGCTCCTGCTGCACAGCTCTCTCTCCACTGCCCACAGCCCATGATAGGCTTGGCTGCCCAAGTTCAAACGACACGACAGCCCATGGTGAGTTGCCACCCACCACGGGCTGCTGTGTCATGGGAACCCAGCCATTAACTGGGGTTCAAGACAGCCATTCTGAGGAGTGTGTTGTGGGGTTCTTACCTAAATAATTGCTGGAAGTTTGGTTTAATAAAGTTTGCTTCAATATTTTGCCGTATGCATATTACATGGGTGATTCCATGTTTCTGAAGTATAGGTAGCTGCAAAACAAAATCACGAGACAATGAAAACCGCTTCCAACTGGGATTGATGTAATAATGGCAAGAGGAATTTTAGAGTTACATATTTGCATCTTCAGCAGAAACTATTAGAGCTGACATTTCATTAAGCAACTGCATTCAGTTCACTGAAAGTTTAGGAGCACCTTGAGGAGATAAAATCAAGTTCATGCAATTAATTGGTTTGTGTGGCTGACATAGTGGGCTGGTTCCTGCAATTGCTACACTCCACTATGGTTTAATTAATCCCTGATGGATTGCAGTGCATGCTGGGGGCCGTTTTTATGAAGTGAATCTTTTATTGCAAATTTCAACAAAATCTGGAGAAAAAAAGAGACATTTTTCTTACATAAATTGAAATGAATTACATTAGGTGCAGATGAAAATAGATGAATATGATTATCTATGAATACGAAAGCACAGCTACCAACAAAAACAATTACGCATAAGCTTTCTGGACACGATTTGCAGTGGAGTTTAAATGTGGAAGCGTTGCTAGGCCCTGTGTTTTAGGAAAGGGATGGTTATCTTCCCAATGTGATATCAATGTTTTAGCTGTCAAAAGGGCTCAGAAAATACACTTGCATTAAAGTTATCCAGTGAACGTCATGCCCAAGTGGCAACCAGAACGCAGGCTGCCCAGGTCCCCAGTCCAAGCGCTCTCACTTCCACACCACACTGGCTCTCAGTGGGCCAGACCAGCGAGCAGATAATCTACTGAGGACAGAGCCATGTCAGAAAACAGAAGGGCATCGCTTCAGACCTTCAGTTCCAAGCTAAAATGACTTAAGCAATGAAAAGGACAAGCAACAGGATCGATGTGAGCAGCCAGTGGGAGGATCGCTTTGCCTTCGGTTTCCAAGCAGCTTTCAAAACAGCCGGTGCCGGTGGCCACACAGAGAGTGCCACGTTCTTCACCTGAGCGTCCAAGCTGTCAAAGGGGGCCGTTCTTGGATTTGGATGCCAGACCCATCCCAGACCTTGAGTGACACGGTCTGGTGCCGATGGCAGCTAGAGGGACTTGCTCTAGCATCCTGTGAAGAAGCGAAGCAAGCCACGCCGGCTGCAGCCACCGTTCGCGTGCACCCTCCTGGCTCCTGCTAGAGACCAAGGGATGAAAGGAATGGTAGAAAGAGGGGGAAGCAGGGCGGACCAGCCTGGCTTGGCTCTGGAGCAACCCATCCTGCATCTTGCACAGTGGCGCACGTCCACGTACAAAGCACCGCAGTGGCTGAGAAGGGAGTCCAGGGCCACGGAAGTGAGTTGCCATTCGTGGGACGCTCGACAGCCTCTGCTCAGAAAGTCCACATGCTGTGGTAACCATGACAACACGGGCTATCACTCAGTCGAACACTGAGCATATGAGCCTGCACACGAGCTGGCTGGACCCCATCCTGCTCCTTTTGTTCAGGCAGGTGACCACCGCAGCGTTGCCTGTAACATGTTGGATCTCTCGATGCGCCACCTCGACCTCAGAAACCATTAGCACCTTTCAGAGCTCAAGGCGAAGGACTCTTGGGCAGTCAGATACTGCAGTGAGCTCCCCAAATGAGAGGGTGCGCCTCCGAGGTCGGCACCATCGCCGATGCCGCGAAAAGGCTGGAGACGCTGGCGCTGCAGGGGGTGCTCACCTCGCGCACCAGTCGCAGGTAAATTCCAGGAAGGCTGTGCGCTGGATCAATATGCCTCACAAACAGCAGGCCGGGCTGGCAGCCTTGGGAGAGCTCGCTGCGATCACGCCCTTGCCGGACTCGGGATCCAGGCTGGGCGAGGGGGAAGAGGGGAACTCGCAGCAGCAGAAGGGTCACGAAACAAAGCCTTGGGGGCTGCATGTGGCCTGCAGGCCGCCTGTTGGACCACCCCGATCCAGAAGGCACGCCCATTCTGTGCTTGCATTGAGCAGCCATGCCGGGATGGGGAAAGCGTGGACTTTTTCCCCTCTCCAAACTTGCACAGGACTGCACCTAAAGTTCAGAACCGGTTATCTCTTTGAGAACAGTTAGAAGAAACAGTTATAGTGAGGCACACCTACCTTGCTTTTCATAGCTGAAGAATACGGGCCCAAGAACAACCCAGGTAAAATTTCCTAAAAAATAAAAAGTGGGTACGTAAGGGAAAGTCACCACGTTCAGTTTATGGCGTTACATTATATTACGAGCTGCATTACCTCAATACGGAAATCAGTGGCAGAGTTCTATTTTGTCAGCACAGTCTGGCCGTCTATGTGCAATCTCAGGAAATACAAATTTGAAAGGGGATTAATATCTCGGACCCAGGCTCATCTTCCTGGACTGCTAATGCCAGGGCTACGACGCAAGGTTTCACAGCAAAGCACAGGTGGTAACTCAGGGAAATAAAATGCCACCACTCCAGGCCGGCCAAGTGCCGCAGCAGAGCGAGAACCACTGCCAGACTCCTTGGCCTTGCCTAAGAGAACTCGGGCCAAGGTCTCCGTGGTTTATGGGAAAGGACCTTCCTCATTTGGCTGTAGGTGCCTAGTGCCCTGCAGCCATGGAAAGGAGACAAGCTGGAGAGAACAGAGGGGTGGAGAGAGATGCCTTGACAGCAGGGGCTGCTCGCTGCAGGCAAGGGAGCCACATCCACTCAGCCCCCCCTCACCCCAGGTAATTCTATATGGCACTGCTTCTAGAGCCATGATCCTCAAAAGCAACCCAAAGCCTCCAAAAGCCCAAGGGCAGCAAGAGCAAGGTAAACGAGCCTTCTCCCTGGCAGGACCGCTGCTCCAGGCAGAAAGTGACTCTGTGCATCTTCAGCTCATTTCTTCATTGCATGTGTACCCCAAACTCAGAACCCCACCCCTTCTCTTCATCTCCATACCTCCTCTCCTCCTCTATGGAATGGGCAGCTGGGAATCAAGATTCTGTGGTGTCTGCTGCCCAAAGAGGTTTTCCTTCTATTACTTGCTTATTCTAGCCACAAGTTGTTTTAGCGAACCATTTCTCCAAAGTACCCTCTGCACGAGAACTTTTCCAGCAGAGCTCCCTGCTGCATCACAGATGGAAATGTGACAGGCCAAATATTTTTTTCTCGACATTTCCTGCTAGGAAACACTTTTCCTGATAAATTGCAGCCAGTCATGTTGCTGTCAAAGACTAGCAACTTTATGCTCTTCTTCATGAGATCATTCCTGCTCATTACTCAGAAAAATAACTTAACAATTTTAATTGAGGCTACATTCTGACAATTTGCACAGGCAAACAGTAATGAAATTATTGTCACTTATTTCTGTGTATACGTTTTTGAATTATTTTTTTCTGGTAAAAGGAGGCAAAGATGCCTCTTTCAAGGAGGAAAAAACCTATAGGCACAGGTCTTCCTGCATCCTTCTTTGCTTGTGCTGGGACTGGGCAGAGGGGATTCAACTTCCCCACAGCAGATCTGAGAATCTAGACTTCCGAATGGAAACTGATTATGAGATACACATGGCTAGTTTCTTTGGCTAAATCAAGTTCTAAAACAATGCATTAATTGGGGGAAAACTTTACAATATAATAGAAATTGTAAACAAGCTACAGTATCCTGTTGAAAAAAGCTGAGATACTTTAGTAAAGGTAAACATTTTATTTTAATTTTGCTTATGTATTCACCAGTTCTGTGCTTTTTCCCTCCACAGTACATAACCAGCATTTTCTAACTTCCTGAAGCTCTTGCTATTCTAAATATTTGCAAAACATACACCAACTGTGTAGTCAGCTTTCTCTACGGCACACAAGCGGACTGAATAGCCTAGAGGACAAAGAAGCACCTGCACCTGCAGGGAACAGGTAAACAGGTTCTCAGAACCCATAAAAAGGGAAGAGAGTGCTGAACATTGTCAGAGAAGCGCTAGCTGGGCAGGAGCAAGGATATCAGACATGGAAGCAGGGACTTTCTTAAGAAATGATGTGACTAAGAAATGTTCCTAAGGCCCAGAAAGGGGGAGGCAAGGGAAGGTAATGGGCCCTAACGGCCTACAGGGAGAACCCCTCTTTGGATGGTAATATGGGACAAGGCCTAGTTGAAAGGCTATTTTCCACAAGTTCCAGAGCAGCCACTGCTCTAAGATGGGAGGGTTCCTTTTATTGCCAACCTGATCATGCCTGGAACTAAAAACAAACACAAACTGATAATTTACAGAAATCCAGTTTTGCTTTTTGGGGAGCGGTTTGGGGGGGGGGCTGATCTGCAGTTATAAGCTGTTACAAGACTTCTCTTGGAAGAGTGATGCTTCCTGAACCAATTGTTAATTCTATAATCCCTGAGAAATTTTAAGGGATTTTGCTAAACCCTTCTAGCAGCACCAAGTATCTAATAACTTGCTTGCAATAAAAGAAATATTCATACCTGCATCTCTCTTCTCATTGGATATGTCCAATCCTAAGCAGAAAAAGACAGTGTTTAAACATGGATATTCTTAGAACTTCAAGACCCATCAAAATAGATGAACTAAAATAATAAATTCTTCAGCACACTGTAAGATGGAAAACAGCAATCTGTCGATGGCTTTGAGTTCTTTCAACAAAGAAATCAATTGTGAGAAATCTAAATATATTAGATGGCATTTCTAGCCCTTAAAACTTGGCAGATTCTTGGCCAAGTGGCCAGTTTCAGTTTACACACGTGGAACATGTGTAGTGTAGAGATGCACCCGCATTAAATTTGAACTTGCACTTAAAAGAGATTTTCCAGGAAAACGTGGGGGAACAATAGCACTTCATATGTCAAGTCTCCAAGCAGGGCAGAAAAGGAATGTGCGTCCAGTCATGGAAATGTTCCATTTTAAAGGACGGCGTATGACACCGCGATGATGTGGCCGAAGCCGCAATTGCTACAATGCAACCCCCCATATCCGGCAACTCTCCTTCTTCACTATTCAGTCCCTGATTTCCTCTGAAGCCGGGCTACAGCTGTGGCTCGACCTGCCAGCTCAGCCACAAACGAAACCGATGAAAAAGTGGGGCAGGGCCCCCAGCACCACTTCAGGGGCTATTCCCATGGGTCCCCAGCAGAGGTTCTCCGAGCGGCAGCAGTGTGGAAATCATTCAAGAGCCCTTTGCCCATATGTGCAGTATGTGGAGGATGTGAAGGTAAAGCTATCGACTCGTTTGGACTTTTATGTGTTTTTATTCAATTTACATCCATAACCAGAGGACATATGTCACAAGCATACAATACAGGGCGGTCATAATTGCATATATATGAAGCTAGAGGAAAGTATTTCAAGACATTTTCCCCATAACCTTAATCCTAACAGGGCTGTGCAGCATGTTCCTAAATTGAGGGTGGTTCAGTAATGCCTTTATTTCAGTTAGCATAATTAATGCAGGACGTCCAAACTGTATAAAAACCATCACTCTGGCTTGGCCTGTTTCATCCTCTCCATCAGGCAATATGCCATGGTTTATTTTGTCATACACTAATGGATGCTGCTTGTTCTTTTTCATGAAAATGCTATTATCTAGTAGTCATCTGCACAAGAATTTCCTTATATGCGAGATTTAGATTTTTTTCCCCTTCAAAAATGGCTAGTAAGAACTGAGGGGAGAGTCGACTTCTGTGGAGTAATCCTTTCAGACCTTCTAAAGACATTTTCCCTTAACTGGCTGCCCAAGGAGCAAAGCCACTCCATATGAAAATGAGTGGCAGTTCCATCACATCTTCTCCAGTATTTTGGAATACTCCCTGGTATTCCTTACTTGCACTGGGATGAAGGACCACCAAAACAGCAATTTAACAGAATTCCCTTTTATCTTGATGGAGACAGATTCACACAGGGGCCAGACATTCTGACTCGCTCTAAGAGATGATCGAATCCCAGCTAGATTTTTTCAACACGTGTGTCACAGTCTTTTTCCTACAGCTTCCCGCAGAGGACCCGCTATCAAGCCGCATATTGTAAGTTCTGCAACAACTCTTTTGTGTCTGGTTTTCTTTGTGCAATGATAAAGTCAAAGCTAATTAGTGCTTCTGTTCTACTGGAGCCTTTACTGTCAAAAAAAGCCCATCTATATAGCCCATAATATTCCCAGGCCTGAAGATCTTCTAAGTTATCCGAATCAGTGACCGTGGATGATGGAAGAATGGTACAAAAGCACGGAACTTCCGCCGTCTTTCCCAAGTTCCCCCAGCTGACAGCAGAAATGGGTCACTATCCTGGGCAAACGGCTGGTCTTACTGGTAACCCTCTTAGTGCCATTGATTTGTTGCTGCTTTCCTCCAACCCAATCCGTGTATTTTCCCGTTCTCCGATCAAGACCTGAACTGTTTGAGATGGTACAAAGCATAATGACACCAAATCAGGAATACCCAAACCACCCAATCTGGTGGCTTAAAAAGAGCCTGCTCTGATTATCTTGCCTTTTTAAAAATAAAGTCATTCACTGGGTTCACAAAACACAACAACCCGTCATGGATAACTACCCACAATGGGTTGTGTCATGCATGCCCCAGAGAGTGCCTTGCTGGTGGGTAATAAGCCCCCCTGGCAAACCATGGCTTACTCCAAGACTGTTGTGCCCATGACGGATTGCTGTATGAGCTGAGCCCCCTGGGGCTCTTGCCAAGCTTTCCTGGGCTGCCACTCGTAAGAGCGGCTCCTCCGTGCGTCCAAGCGGCATTCCAGAGTGACTGTCGCCGGCTCCGGCTCCCCGGCTACCAACACGATTGTCTTGCTGCCACCACAGCTGTTCCACCCTTTCCTTTTCTACAGCCCCTCCAAGCACCCAACCAACCCATTGGAACAGCTGTCCCTGCTTCACCGCCCATTAAAAGAAGCGCCGGACATTTGCGCAAGCTGCAGGGAGGGTGGATTTTCAGACGCCTAATTCTAGCTATCCCATAAGGGAAGCTTTGCCTTGTCAATGTCCTGGATGGGATCTCCTGTTGAAGTACAAATAGGCGAACCTTGTTGCTTTGCTGCTCGTTGGACAGCAGCCAAAAGGCAAGTTGTCAAGTGAGAAGCAAGGCCACGAAGAGATTGCTGCACCTGAGACGGGGAGACAAATCGATCTCATCTTCACAGAGAGATTATCCGCTTGTCTTTGTTTGGACTTGACTGTTCTCAGTGACCCCCGACTTTTCACCCACAAATGGGCTACAGTAGGGACAAGATGGGTCCTGCCACAAGTCCCCTGAGATACTGGGGGGGCCTTATGGGGAAAAAGGGGGAGACAGCCCACCATGAGCCTGATGGTCTGTTGGCTGCACAGGGGAGGCTTCAGGCACCCACACTGCAGAGTTTTATTTTCAGGGCTGGTTGCCGCATTATGCAAGCTCACTCATTACTTGATTGCCATCTGTTCAAGTATTTCACTGAGGGTGGGTGTGCATGACACACTAAGCTACCCCGTGAATGAGCCAGAGTCGGTTGTTCATGGAACAAGACAGAATACACTGAACAGTCGATCATGTTCGCCATAGTTGTTTTCCCGTCAGTCGTCCAGATGATATCCCAGTGTCCTTTGCAGCAGAATCCCTCGTCTCCCTTTCCTCTTTCTAAAGTAAAGTAGTTTATTTTTCCTCCAATTAAACTTGGGGGGGGGGGTTGGAGGGAGGAGCATCTAGAAAATTACATGGTGTGTTCGTAATGTAAAAAAAAAAAAATCACCAGTTTTTCAGAGGTAACAAAAAAGAGGGAAAAGTAAAGGAGAGAAATTGGCATTATATTTCTCCTCCATTTACTTCATTCTTCACATGCACATTCAAAATCCTACAGATAAGCATCTGGGGAGTGGAGCAGAGCTACAAATTATCCTACCATCCTTCTCCCTCCAGTTACCAAGCTGCTGAGACGGCCGTATTATGACCAGCATGAGGGTCGGGATGCCCCTGCATGCCAGCTGCTGCAGCACAAGCTGAGGGGCCTTTTCCAACTGCACCTGCCTTGTGGGCTTCCCACAGGTAGAGCAATGGCCACCATGTCAAGAGAGAAGGCCACAAGGTCTCTTCTCGTGTCAGCAAAGAGCATCCCCGACGTCTCTGCTGCTACTTGCCCTGGAGAGAAACTTTAAAAGCCTTGCCTGGACCCCAGAAAGGGCAGATGAGGCACATCCACTGTTAGCCCAAGTGACTGCTTTTGCGGTTTGTTTTACATGCTTGCAAGTGGTCTCTGATTGATTGGCAACCCTATGAACGAATTCCCTCTGAAATGTCCCGTCCTTGACAACCTTGCTCAGCAGTCAAACTCAAGGCCGTGGCTCCCTTTATGGAATCGATCCACCTCATAGCTGGTCTTTCTCGTCTTCTTCTGCCTCCAACTTTCCCTAGCATGGCTGTGCTCTCCAGTGAGTCTTGCTTTTTCATGACGTGCCCAAAGTACAGCAGCCTCGGCTTTGTCCTGTTTGCTTTCAGGGAAAGTTCTGGCCTGGCTGGATCTAGAACGCAAAAGACTCTTTGCAAGAGCTCTCCTCTGGCAACATGTTGCGAACACGTCCATTTTCGTCCTGCCAGCTTTCTTCACTGTCCGGCTTTCGCACCCATACACAGGGACTGGGAATGCAACAGCCTTGGTCTCCAGCGAAATGCCATCACATTTGGTTATCTTTTTTGGTTCCTTCCCTGCTGTCCTTCCAAACCTTACTCTATTTCTTGGCTGCTGCCTCCGTTTGAACCGACGGCTTGGCCTGTGTATGTAAAATGCCAGTGCCTTTGCGAATGACAGTAAAGTTCTGCCATTTTTCTGTAACCATGGTTTTTGCTTTCTTCGTATTCAGCAGCAGGCCTGCTTTTGCACTTTCTTCTTTTACTTTTATCAGTTGACTTCACAGCTGCTGTCTGCCAGCAGTTTGGTATCATCTGCATATTTTAACTTACTGGTGTGTCTTGCACTAATTTTCACTACCTCTGATCTTAATCCAGCATTCTTTAAGCTATATTTTGCTTACAGAAGGAAGAGATACATAGGTAAAACATGGTTGTTGTTGTGGGGATAAGACGGAGGAGGAGAATGATGTAAGCTGCCTTGAGCCCTTTGTAGGAAAAAGGCAGGATATAAATCAAAAAATAAATACTAATAATAATAAAACATACACATGTTTGACACCATTATTTCTGCATATTCTGTTCTAACCATAGCTCCTTGTCTACAATACAGGTAACGCATCACTGCAATCGAATGCTGAGGGGCACCTATTTCCTTCAGGAGCATCCACAGCTTCTCGTAATCCACAGAGTCAAAGGCTTTGCTGTGGTCTACCAAGCACAGACTGGTCTCATTTAGAAATTCTTTGATGCACTCCAACGGCCAGTGTACATTTGCAGTATGATCTCAAGTGCTTCTTCCTTTCTGAAATTCAGCTTGACAGTCAGGCATTTCTCTCTCCAAATAGGGTAAAATTCTTTGTTGCAGCACTATTTTGCTCGCATGGGAAATTAGTGTGGTGGTTCTGTGGTCACTGCACTCTTTAGGATCTTTCTTGGGGACTGGAATGTATATGGATCATTTCCAGCCTGTGGGCCACTGTTTTGTTCTCCATATTCGTTGGCAGAGTCTTGTTAATCCCTGCAGCGTGGAATAGTTCTATTGGTATCCTTCCTACACCAGGTGCTTTATTCCTTCCAAGTGTTTTCAGAACAGTTTTCACCTCACACCGGCAGGTTCTTCCTCACAGGATTCCTCTACAAAGGACTCCGCCATCTTTTCTGTACAGCTCTTCCTTGTATTTTTTCTACTACCTCTTTATTTTCTTCTGGTCAAACACTATGTTCCCCTGTTGGTCATTCAGCATGCCTTATCTACATTTGAATTTCCCTTTGATTTCTTGGATCTAATGGAAGAGGTCTCTTTGTTTTTCCTCTTCTGTTCTTCTATTCAGTTTCTTCGCACTGGTCCTTGTAATAGCTTTTTTGTCTCTACACAACAGTTGCTGAAAAGTTACCTTCAGGATTCTGACCCTATTTCTGTCACATTTGCTTTTGCATCTTGCCTGTCCTTGGCAATTGTGAATGTTTCTTCTGTCATCCATCTAGGCTGTCTTTCTTTTTGCTACAGGAGTAAGTCTTTTTGTATTTTTTCCCTAATAATTTATCTGGTTTCAGTCCACCATTCTTCCTACTCATGGTGAATTGAGTTCAGTAATACAAATCCGTTCTTTACATAGATTTTAAATTCCTCAGGAATGTTACTGAAACAGAATTTTGGAACTATACTTCTCTTGGTAATCTTTTTCAGCTTTAGTCTGATTTTTTTATATTATAAAAAAGTTCATGGTCAGCACCACAATCTGCTCCTGGTCGTTTTGGAGGTCAGAATGCAGCTTCTCCATCTCCTGCTTCCAATTATGTAATCTATTCAGTGTCCAGGTTGCCCATCTGGTAATGTCCATGCATACAGTTCTCTGGTTGGTTGCCTGAAGTATCCAGCTGCAGCGAACAGACTGTTAGCATCACAGAATTCTGTGAGCTGGTCTCCTGCTTTGCGTCTTACCCCTGGGTCAAGCTCTCCCACAACACTGGATTCTGCTTTTTCCTCCTTTTCCAATTCAGTCTAGTCACCTATGATCATCAGCATGGCTTGATTTGGTGCATTACCGATTTCCTCTTGGACACTTATGGGAAAAAGATCAACTTTTTCTTCGGATTCTGTTGTTGAAACATAGTTATGTTGAATGGTTTCCCACAAATTCTGATTGGTATTATTCAGCCGAACTTTGTATTATAGCTGCCTTACTCCTTGTGCTACACCTTACCTCAGAGTTAGAACTGTTCCATTTCTTCTAAGCTTCTGGTTCAAAAATATTCAGAGGTGGCTTACCATTGCCTTCTCCTGAGCAGTTCTCACCAGTTAGCTTGAGCGTCACTGCCGCTGTCCACGGAGTATCCTCCACCAGCGTTACTGTCAGTTACTTCTGCTGCCTAGCAGCTGCCCTGAGGGGTTTCTCTGCCCCCATCTCTACTCGGTATTTTCACTCTCTTCTGCTGATGTGACCGTTACTCCTGAAAAGAGTGGAGGCACGGCAGACGGGCGTCTCCGCTTCCACCACTCCATGGCGAATGGCCCTGCTAGGAAGCCAGACTTGTGAGCATCTTGCCGCCTGGGGGCGTCGCTCTCGGCTTCTCTGGCACTCACAAACCCCCTACCACGTTGCTGGCCGTCCAGGTACTGCCCAAGGAAAGCTGGAGAGCAGTTACCACACTGGATCCATGGAAAGGGCTCACTGCTATCTTAAAAGCCCAGAAACAAAAGTCTGGCCAACTTATGAAAACAAACAGGACATAAAGTCCAAATCTATGCACAGGCCATAATCTTAAAAATCCCTTTCTGTGCCCTAATTACTGGTCTACATGGTACTACACTTACTGTACATTCACAACCAAGGGGTTTGATCCTTTAAAGTTCCATCTAAGATTATTTACGCTGTTAGTAACTTATTTAAATCCCACCATCACTGTCTCATGTTAACATGATGTACTAGCTGGGCAATAAATCCTGTACCACTAGTGATTAAAAAAACACACCAGGTGAAAGTTTTGTGTGTGATAAAATATGATTTAAGTTACTACCACACCTCGAAAAAGCATACCGTTTAGCTGCAAAGGACAATGTAAAGGGCAACCATGTTGATCAAGGGGCTGGAACAAGTCCCTGATGGGGAAAGGTTACAATGTGTAGGGTTTTTTGGCTTAGGTTATGACAAAACCTTCATATATAGAATTATGCACAGCTTGGCAAACATGGTAAAGTTTTTTCTCCCTCTGTTTTAATATTAGGACCCAGGGTAATCCAGTGACGCCAACTGGTAAAAAATTTATGACAGAAGAAAGAAGTACATTTTCAGATAATGCATAGTTAAATTATGGGATCCACTAGTACGAGAAGTCATGATGTCTCCCAATTTGGAAGGCTTCAAAAGGGCATTAGACAAATATATGGAAAATAGAATTATCAATGGCTACTAATTATGATAGCTATATATTACTGCCAGTATCTGAGAGCATGCTTTTGATGACCTACTGCTGCAAAACGACACGATTCAGATGTTTGCGGCTGCATTGGGGTTCATGCCCCATTGGACAAAGGCTAGGCCTTTCATCTGATCTGGGAGGACTCCCTTTATGTCCAACTCCACATTTTAAAACTGCGTATTATTTCTTAGTCATAACCCTTAGCTAAACAGTGAATGATGAACAATATGCCGTGCAGGGCACCTTGCAAAATTAGAAGCGTCATTATCCACCTCAGTGAGGCAAAGCAATGCATGCCTGGGAACAGACACATGTCAAACAACAAGCTGAAGGATCCAGGCAGGTAGTAACTAAGCCTCATCTCCTGCAATGTACACTTGCTTAACTGCACTGCAAACAGTACCATATTTGAACAGCACAATTAGTTGATACACTGTAAAGGGATGTGCTTGTTTTAATTGTATAATTATGCAAGGGACTAACTTGCCTTAATTGTGCAATCCTGCCACCCAACAACAAAATGAACTTTCAGAACAGGCCACATGACTGATCAGAATACATTTTGCAAAGACTGCACG